TAATTATTTGTAAATTCAAAATTACTGCCAGTTTGACAACAAGGGACAAATTAAACTGGGGATGGATAAGAGTACACTTGATAAAATTTTCTGTAAAACTTTCCGTGAACATAATTTTTAGTTACTTTATTTACTCTTACATATTAGCGCACTCTGTAAATTACCTGTGAATGCATAAAAGTCCAGGCTATTCTTTATTCTTCTCGTAAGAACGAAATCTAAAAGACAAGTTCAACATCCACGAGTTGTAGATGATGTAATGTATGCTTTAGAAAGACCCACATATAGATTATTAGATTAAAGACAGGCCTGGCAGACATCAAAGTTAATGTTTTCGTTAATATTTCCGACTAATAAACGACTAAAGCATAAAACTGGAGTCGAAATAGATGATAAAGCAGCGGTTGATTTTATAAACACCACAGTGGATAAGGATGCTCGTGGTCAGACGCGAGAGGAAAAGTATGTTCATTCATAGAGAATACGTCTTTCGTGATATTTGACGCTGAATCTTTTTCCTCAATAAATACCAATCTCTTTTTTTCGTAGAGCATTTTACGTGAGTGTTGTTTAACACTTTATTTATCAATGACTCGAGTATAAAACTTAAATCAGAGACAAATAGCGGTTCATTTTATAAATGCTTATGATCAGAACGCACGAACGTACGTATATAATGGACGAATATATTCTTCGTTATTTATTCCGACGACTAAAGTGTAAAACTTGAGTGAAACTAGAAGAGGCAAGTAGCCATCGATTTTGCAAACATAGTAGATCAGGATGCTTATATAGTCAGACTCACGAACGTATTATATCGATTCGTATAGAATCAGTACTGAAATCTTCTTACACTTTGACAAATATAATATCCTTCTCTTTTCATTTTATAATGCATGTATACACTAAAGTTCAAATTAATCAAATTTCCATGAAAAAAAGGGGGGGGAGGGGAAATGAAATCGCGTCTAGAAACTCATTCGTCAAGATTTGGATCGCATCCTAGAGATTCCTAGAGATTCCTAGAGTTTTATATATTACATAGAATTTCGTGATTCGTTTAACTGGCGTTCGTCGCCGTTGAAATTGTCGGGAGTGACGGAATTCCGATTAAGTAGGCGCGTTAAGCGGCAAGAAGTGTTTCACGGGATCACTGCCGCGCAGTAACTGTACGTAATGAGCAACTCTCTCGTTAGCGTTGGTAAACGGAATTCCGTAAGCGTTATCCGCGTTGCAGAATCAACGCAAGATACGAATCCGGTGCACGGGTTGCCATGAAATACCTAATCGAGCACGTTCGTGAAATTAAACGCAGTCGGCGCTGATCTTGTTGCGAAGCTTCTGTATTTGAAGGCTTGTAAGCCTGGCCTGCCACCGCTCGATTCCATGCAAAATGAACGAAGAAAGGGATATAATAAGTTAGCTACACACAGATCATTAATTACTCTCTGAAGCTACTGAAATTTGTTTCAAGGCTGTTGTTAATGCAAATGTACTTCATTTTTTGCCAATCTCGCGCAACGTACATCTTCGAACGCAATCTGTCAGAAGATTTGCAAGGGATGCAAATTTATTTGACGTCAAAGAAAGTAATGACGAAAAAAAAAAATCTTGAAAATTATGGAAAAAGAAGTGGACACGAGCGAATCCTTTCGACAGGAGCACGCGTCTACTTATTGTTAGTAGCGAATGGCGAAAAAAGAATTGGCTGGATATAACTTAAATTTAGTGATACACCAAACGATCGACACTGCTATTTTCATGATTTCAGAAGAAAAGAGATTTCATTAGGAGGTGCTAAAGACCACTTGCGATGATGAGATAATGAATCTCTAAATGTGAATAACTAAAAATAAAATTAAATAGTATCGAGTGATTTGTCATTTTGTCGCAAATATACGTACATTATATATATATTTCACATATAAAAAAATCCTATACTCATTGTATAATATATAGATTGTATATTTATACGTATATACTTATTTATATTCATATTTTTGTACTATATTATTCAACTACGCTAACTTTGCAGTTTATTTTCTTCCACTATTCTGCTCGATTTTTTTACAAAAAGCCAGGTGCTAATTCACACGACGGGGGGAATTTCCATGTGACAAGAAGAAGACAAACTAGAGGAGCGTTAATTCCCGGTACGTAGCGGGGAATATAGAAAACGAACGGCTAGAACATGAAGAGTGAAAGACGAAAGAAATGGTCGGACGTCGGGTAAAAATTCCCCCGAACGAGAAGAATTCGTGGAACAAACAAAGACAAAAGGAAAAAGCGAGAGAGAGAGAGAGAGAGAGAGAGAGATCGAGTTAGAGCAAAGACAAAAAACTGGCAAAATTGTGACGGTGAAACCGACGGTATGAATTAAGGAATAAAAACTGCCTGCCGGTGGAAAACGATGAAAATGACGACGGTTAAGAGGTGAAGGTGAAGAGGCAACAAAGGGGAGGGAACGTTCTCATGCGAAGAAGAGGAAAAAAGAGAAGAGGGAGAAAAAGGAGGAAAAGGGGGAGAAAAGAAAAGAAAAGAAAAGAAAAGAA